GAAAGCCCTACATAGGGTCTCTGAGTCGGTACTAAATTGATGATAATGGAATTGGTTTGGGAAAGTTAATATGCATGTACTATTTAATTAACTTTTTACTGTTCCACCCCTCCCACCCTGTTAACCTTCAAAGAATGTTTATGGGGGTAAAATTTATTTTTTTAATAGTAGTAGTCTTGTAAACCATTTTCGGTCCCAGTGATTCACTACTTTCCCTCGGCATAATTCCCTCCATGTTCATTTATGTCATGAGGTTGCTCATAGACTATTGTTTTTATTCTTTGAGATTAGCAGGCTATGCATTCTCATGCCAAGGAACCCTGATTGCACTGTCCAGTACACAGTACATTGGCAACTGCAAGGACAGAAGTTGAAACCCCCTGGTGTGCAGAGAGAGATGAGACCGTCTTTTCCAGGTCAATGTGAATTGGAATTGACTTAGTGTCAGTGAGTTAGCACTAAAGAAGAGAGATTTAAGATACACAAAAAGAGACACTCAGAGAGACAAAGACAGGCACAAAGAAAAATATCATTTGATTCATATCAAGTAACCCAATAATTTCATGTGAATTCTTACCTGGCTTTTATACCTCCATTTTAATAGTTTTATCATCATCCATTTATTTGGTAACCTTAGTTAGAAAATTCCTTTTTATTTAACTTACTTTTCACCAGTCATAAGTTTTAGTAACTTTCCAAAAAGTGTTCAAAATTCTTTCTAGTTCCACTACTATGGAAAAATAATATCTTTCTAAGAATACCTAAATATTTGCTGACTAATCTCAGAATTTATACTCATTCTAAAACAGTTTAAATATAATATTACTAACATGCAAAAGTAATTATGGTACTTCCCTGCTTAAAACTCCTCCATTGACTGGTCACTGAAAAAATAAGGAGTGAGTTATTATAGAGACATAGAGGTGGTAATGGATTTTCTTCTAACTACTCTCCTTTCCTTGCCTATCTACAATCTTATCAGCCTACCAGGTTGTGCTGAGTTTATTATGTAGCTTAATTATATTAATCTAAATATAGCAGGCATTTTTACAATCTGCTCAGCCCTTGTCCATCCTTTATGAGATCATTGTCTTTCACCTAGTTTATATGTTCTAAATGAGATCAAGCCTGAGTCCTTCAGAGGCCTGAATAATAGCACTATATTTGCTTGTTCAATGTTAAGTCTATTTGACATATGATAGTCTGTTGGATAGAACTTTGTACCAGGAAGTATGTTTAAAACTGGAACTCTAACTGTGACTATTTCTGTTCACTACATGGCTGATAAGAATTAGGTCAAGTAATAAACAGGAAGATTCTTTGAGAATGGATCGTTGGCCACCATCAATGGAAGCACGATTGAAGACAGGCTGGCATGTTAAAGGAATGTTAAGGTTTCATATATTTGGGTCTTAAGATTGGTAAGCTCTTTGAGTCCTTACATTAAATGAATAGACAAGTGAAACATAAAATCATCCAAATAATAGTGCTATGCCAATAATGAATAGAATGGAATGATGTGAATTATAGAGATATTTAAGGTGACTGATTATTTAAATTATTATATAAATTCATATGTATTAAATTCACGTAACCAGAAGTCAATAAAATGAGGGAAATAAAAAAATCTTTTTAAAGCAAAATTTACATGGTAGGATGACTGAAAATTATGGGACAGAATAAAAAGAACAGGGAAGCATGAGAATGATATCTATTATCAGGATTTGTGACTTTTAAGAGTAGTTGACCCATAAAGAACCACGTAATTGCTGGATAAGAAAAAAACCCATCTTATTTGGGCTGCTTTTGACAAATGGTTTAGATCATGTACAATAACTGAAGTTTCCATAAAGAAGAAGCTGCTAGTTATATTCCATTTTGCTTTGATCAACATAGATCCAAAATAATTTGATTTTGTATTTAAAACAAGTGAAATTGGAGTATATTCAGAGGACAGCAGTACAATCACATAGGAAACTAGAAATGCTTGGGGTGCAGAGGAAAGTCTTAGGCTCCTTATAGTTACATTGTGTCTGAGTAGCACTTTTTATTATAGTCACTTTGAACCAAACCGTGAGTCTTGGAATCAAACTTCTCAAGTTTGTTTCCAGGCTTAATTTATTACTTTTAGAGATTCTAGACAGATTATGCAAACTCATTAAGATTCAATATCTTCCTCTTTCAAAAAGGGAGTATTACTATTACAGTCCCCTGGAGAATATTGTAAATATTACATAAAGTATTACATTTAAGCTATTTACTACCGGGCTTGACAGTTCATAAAATTTTGAAAATGTATGTGATACTCATCATCATATCATCATCATTGTTGTTTTTATTTTTGGTTGGTATTGTTGCTAAGTAGAACCCCTCAGGACCAGGGGTGACAGTGGCGATACCAGGAGGGAAGGGGGTGAGTAGAAAGGGGGAATTGATCACAGAGATCTACATATAACCTCCTCTCTGGGGGATGGGCAGCAGAGGGGTGGGTGAAGGGAGACGCCGGGCAGTG